TAATACTTGTATAGTTGTCACCACTATGTCTCTCTTTTTCTCTGAATGCGTTAACATGTGTCTCAGGGGCGATCTTTAAATATATCAATCGTTTAACTTAGAATAGATTTCTCTTTTGAAAATATTTCGACAAAAACCAAGTTTCTAATATTCGTATCTTTACAAATTTATATTTTCTGTATAAATAAACTGTGAATACACATATATTATTCTAAGAAAGCAGAAACTCATTGAATTAAAGTCAAAAACGTTACCTGGTACCTTAACGAATTGATTAGGATTAAGATAAATCGACTTCGAACTGCTAAAAAGAAAAATTTAATTTCTACAAAATAATTAATACAGATGCACGGTTTTTGTAAAAATATAAACTGCTGAATAATGAAATGTGTATACGTATATACAATTAAAACAAAATTGTGAAAATGTTTAATACAAAAATTTACACGTTTATCAATCTTTCGATATTTCTAAGTCGCAATATTTCTGTGAATCGTAGTGCGCATTTTTTTTTAAATTATAATTATTCACTTCGTGGAAGGACAAACGCAATGTGGCTCGAAAAATCAAAAAATTCGAGACATTTGGGAGTGGCGATATCAATCAACAGTCAGCGGAATAAATTCGTAACATTCTCAATGATGCGAATCAATTTACCGCTCCCGAACGCGCGATTACCAGCGTCCCTTTTTTTCTCCCTATCTGCCACCCCTCCCCCTGATATTTTTTTTTTCCCCGGTCCCTCGGTTCATCGCGGGTCGTACCGCATGCGATGAAATCGATCGCGATCGCGCAGTGCAGTTGATTGCAGAAACAACAGCAGCGCGGCGGCGAGTCCGGTTGCAACAGAAATTCGCGGGAATTCGGCGCGCTTTTATCGGAAAGCCGTCGTTTTAATCAGCGCCCGACCGAAAATCGCTGACGAGGCGAACGAGAGGTGGTTCGTTGCCGTGACGTTCGGAAAATTGCCATGCCCACCGCCACCATCATCCCCAGTCCCACACCGATTCATCCCCGCGCCCATTCGTCTCGCTCTTTCTCTCTCTTTCTCACCCTCGTTCCCACGAGAGCACGGGGATTTTCAATTTCGTTCATAAATCCGTAATGGAGGAGTCACTACGAGTGCCGGTCGACCGGAATGAAGCGCCGCCCGCGTAACGATGCGAGCAATAAAGAATTTAGCCGACGGTGCGACCGAAAATCACGGGTTACATTTTGCTCTCGACGTTGTTTACGCCCCTCGCGTGTTCGCTTCGAAATACATAGGGTGAGTATCCCGAAAAGCCGACGCCGCTGTTCCCTATTACCTTTACGGATTTTTCGATCAATTTGCAGGCGAATTTTGTTTAATGAAATTGTCGATGTGTATACATCAATAGTGTATTCCTAACTTGGAAATAGTTGAAAATAAAAAAGCTCGCCCCGGATTGTGCGAGAGAGAATCATGGAACTACAAATAGTTAATAAAAATGTTAATTCTCAGTTAGTTTTACATGGACTCTGCTTTAATAAAATTTTAATTTAAAACTTATGACGTTTAAAAGTTAAAGTTGTGTCTAGCAAGACATTTGTCTTAAATTTAAAAACGAGATATTATAACGATCACGGTTTGACGTTGAGCAAATACATGTATAATATAAATTAAAACTAAATCTACAACAATTTCAGTAAAAAGAATTTCCAAATGAATTTAATTACCACAAATCTTTTTTACTTGGCGGTAATGGCTCAACTAAATTAAACAATAAGTATGAGATAGAAAAATTAATAAAGCAAAAAAGTAATACAATCATTCGTTATATAAGCAACCTACTTCTATACGATTTTAGTACAAAAGCAACTAATTCTTTCGACAACTAATTTTATTTGTTAACAGCTAATAAAATTTATTATGTACGAGACAATTAATAGACAGATCCGGTAAAGAAAGTTCTTTGTAATTAACAAAATATTAAATAACCGTATTGAAAATAGAAATGTACGATAAACATTATTCAAATTTCTGTACTTTTATTGATAATTCTATTATTAAAATGAAATAATCTCAATTTTCGCGAGCTAAAGTTAGAAAAGATTTGGGAAATGCGGCCAAGTTATAATGCATATTCATTACACAATTTTCGGGATCTTCCTATCACAATTTAATATGTATTTTTAATTATTTTATTTTTGTCAAACTCGTAGCAACTTAACTTAGAATACAATATTTAATTCTCTTGAATTATACAAAAACGATATGATGTTAGAAAATTCGTTCCAAAATCATTATTATTTTTCTAGAAGATTACTTAACTTTCATCCGAAATACCTTGCAACGCAATCGGCGCAACATCAGGATTGGTGGAGATTAACCGGCGCGTAAAGTCGATTTACGAAACGGTTGCGCGAATTTCACCGGATAGAATGTAATTTTTTATGAATGTTGGATGACATCGATTACCCGCGAAAAGTCCATTTCGCTGTGCGGGCCGTTGTTCACGTTTGTGCGGAGCGCGCGCTGAATTTGCAGCGGAAAATCAATTCGGTTAATTGAGAGGGTGCAATCCGTGTCGTTTTTTTTAATTTCCACTCTTCGTCCCACATGTCGCTCCCCTCTCCCTTCCCTTCTCTCTCTCTCTCTCTCTCTCTCTCTTTTTCTCTCTCACTCTCTTTCTCTCTGTCTACTTCTCTCTCGCCCTTCATCTCTCGAATACACGCCAGGAATGCAGAGGATTGGGCGGGTAACGGGGTTGGACATGTTTATCGACATTCTGAAACGCTGCTCGCCCGTTTTTGGGCACCCTCCCGCAACCCGCTCCTACTACTACAACCCCTGCCCCGTTATCGGGAGTACGTTTACACCGCAACAATTAATTACGCCGTAATGCCTGGTGCAATTATTTCCAAAATAGATAAAACGACGGACGATCTCGATAGATTGTGATAGTTGGTGTAATATCGGTTTGATACGCGAGCATGTAAAATGTAGAAGCGTAAAAGTTAAATCGAATCCACGTGAAATGAGATATGCATCGTTAATATAAAAGAAAATGATATAAATATATCGGGGAAAAAAGACGATGAAAAATTACAATTAAAAATTACAGATTGTTTAATCGAAAAATTGAATATTTTCATTGCAAAATTGACTGTAAAATAAAAAAAAACTTCAAGTTGACCTTAAAGTCCGTTCTTTATTTCTACTATCTATAGTGGAAATGTGTGGATAATTAGCAGATAAATGATTTTGAAAGTAAAATAAGCGGTTCTAAAAAATTTAAAAAAAGGAATTTCCATTTTTATTCTTAATTTATTTTCACAATAAATCTATTAATATCAAATATCCTATAAAATTCATGTTCTAAAAAAAAAAAATGCCGATAAAATTTTTTCTAGTAGATACCTCTAATGCTTATGATTCTCATTTCTCTTATTTTTTAGTCAATTTAGTTACATTTCAATGAGATAAAGAATTTCCTTTAAATTAATATTATCTTGTTAAAATATAATATACGGAAGCAAAGAGCACGATTTACGTAAGACAGTACCGGTGCGTAGGAAAACGCGAACATCGCTCGCGAAATTCTTTTCCTCTCTGACCAAATAAATCGCACGGTTCGCGGCCGCAGGAAGGGAGGATAGCTAACCCCATCCGAGCAACAAGCAAAAGTCGCGGCGTGGTGCAGCATTCACCCTTCCTGAAACGCGAAAACCAGAAAATTACGTCACGGCGGACCGTACCACCCTCCCACGCTTGCTACTTTCCTGAATAATGTTCGCGGTATGCGGCCACTGCAGTTGCAGTCGCTGCAGCTGCGGCTGACCGTGCTTAAAAACGGAAACCCGCGCAAGTATTTCATAAATGGCATCGTGGCACGAAACCGCGCGCGCGGAAACAGACGACATCTTATTACGCGAAAGTCGTGAGCGCACGAGCGTAATTAAAATTGCTCGAGAAACGCCGGCGTTTCTCCCAAACTCTTTGGGAAGTCTAAGAGCCGAGGTACAATGGAATATAAAAATGACAACGCGGAAAAAAAATGAAGATTACACGCAAAATTACTCATGCAAGACGGTATCATGTGTGAAAACGTGTCGAAAATTTACATTTAAAAGAAGATTATGAAAGGAATGTGCTGATAAGCGTTCATCGTTTATTGCAACCAATTGTCTTTGCTGAAATCTGAACACAACGTAGTAGATAAGCTGGATTAAAATTCAGATTCTTGAAATAAATAATAAAATTTAATAAAAAATAAAAACAACGATTATTCTTCTATTTGTCTTGAAAGTGTTATTTTTGAAAGAAAGAGATTACGGTAATATTACAACCGCTTCGAATCGCAGAATCTTTCATTAAATTTCGCTAATTATATCAGTATCGGAGAACCGAGTAATACATTTATGCGATAATTAATTATATCTATCAATTAATTCTTGGAGATAGTAAAAGAAGACGGGTGTAAACGCTATAAATTATATTTTACCATCCGTCTATTTAGTAATAACGTCTAGATTGCGCGAAATATCCGAAAAAAATTTCGGTTTATCGTCGTCGATTAAATGGCAGTTTTTTTCTACGAACGAGAGTTTTGCCGGAGTGCTGCATGCAATCGCACGGTTAATTTACACGTTCCGCTTGTTTTTCCACTCTTTTCTATTCCGAATATTGACCGATCCAGTATAAACAATACTCTATTTCTCTCTCTCTCTCTCTCTCTCTCTCTCTCTCTCCTCTCCCCCTCCTTTCTATCTTTCTCTCTCTTTCATGTCTTCTGTCTCCCGTTATTTCACCGCCCATCGGCGAAATGGAGGCACCACCAATTGTACCGCCCTGCTTTGATTTATTAACCGGCACGCAATTGTTCGCGAATCGCTTTAATAATTCAGCTGTTGATTAAACGGGCAAGGTTCATTTTTACGCGTGATTTATCCCACGCACTGCTTCTCTCGATATGTGTGTCCCTTGATATATGTATTTCTCCCTCTCGTTGAAAATGATTCCACAACGGCCATCGCCCGCTAATGCTCACACATCGCCAATCACGATTTAATATCATCACTACTACTCACCGGGACAACATTGTGCAAAACGCGAATACAACAGAATTCTGATTACCTCAACGCTGAACGTTTCGATCGAGCATTCGATTGCTTGTAAAAAATGTTGTTTAGTAAAGAAATCTTTTACATGCAGAATTTTAATTCGTACCGAGAGAATCCATGTATTATTAATTACATTAAAATTTATTAAAAACAAAAAAAAAAAGGAAGAAATAATGAACATCACGGGAGAGAATATTTTTATATCGGCATCATTGTATGATAAAATTAATTTTCTTCCGTACATAGACGTCTTTCTTCAAATATCTTTTTCGTCTTTAAAATTTTTAAAGAAATAACAAAAAAATTAAAGAAACAATTTGTTAACTGTCTTCTTTCAGTGAAATTCTTTGTTCCATTTCATTAACAGAATATATCACTTAATAACTAATAATATAAAAGATAATATTTAAAAAATTATACATTATTATTTAATAAATATAGAAAATAAAATGTTAAAAATACACAATTATGCAATTATCACTTTGTCTCAACGAATTTGACTATCGAATTTTCAATATATCAGCTACACAATTCAAAGGGAAATAAAAATTCACCCGCACATGAGATTCAAATATCAATTCCACGTGCCAAGTATCGCGTTTATACGACACGCGCAACATTTTATTCAATATATTATCAAATGATACGGCGTGTCATCAAGTATTGCGATATTGTTAAATTAATAATACAATCGTACAATCGTGTTTATTTCGCATTTCATTATTATAATAACGTGTCATGTTAAACCGCTGCTGCAGTTTATTTTAGTAGTCACAATACGTCGTATTTATACAAATAAACAAAATTTATATCATTTCCAGTGAATTTGTTGGTTGTCCCTCCACGAAAGAGGCAAGAAACGCGATCGAGACGCACGACGTCGATGGGTAGGCTCGGTGTGAAAAAGGTTAAAAAAAAAAAAACCGACGATAGAGATGTAAAAATAAGCGCACGACTGGGAGATAAAATATATACTCACCACTTTAAGTTTTGCCTGTATTTCCCGAAGTTTTCTTCTCGCGAGAACCTGTATGTGCGAGGATACTTGTTTTCGCGTTCTCGTCTTACCGGTCCTCAATTTGATATAACGGGCGATCAGCTCGTTGCGACCTGTAACCAACGAATTATACGCATACAGATCAGTATTCTTTATCGATAAACCGTACTAAATATTGTTCATAAAAGAATAAATCACGTAACGAAATATACAATCAGACGCATTTAAGTCAAGTGATATTCATCCAATTAATAATTTATTTATGACTCGTCAAATATTAATTCAAGATAAACGTACGCTCCATGCATATATTTATATTTCAGATATTTAAAGGTTAAAATAAACGACTCGAAATATTTAATAAAATCACTCTACCTATGCTATTAATGGCAATTAAAGACTCGTAGAATTAAGTGAGACTTTGCAGAACGCGATTTCTTCAAACTTTAAGCTCGTTTTTCTTTCGCTTCTCATTCTTCCAGGTAGTTTCAAGAAAAATCTGGACAACACTTATAAATTCTGATTTTCCATGTCGAGAATAGAAACAAACAATTGCGATACTTGCAGAAGCGTCAGAATCGGTCCTGGGAAATGAAAGTTCCGTGATGAAGATTGCATTCTCGCGAGCCTCAAATACGAGAATTCCTTCTAGAATTGACGAGAAGCAGACCGGACGGATTCAAACAAACCCTCGAGCAAACCGCTCGAAATAGGCTTTGAGAGCTGCCTCGCAGAAGCAGCAGATAAAATGCGCTTTACGATAGAGCTAAACCGTCGACGTATTTAATTCAAGCGATTGCATTTTAAACTAGCTTGAGAGACGCGCAATTTATCATGTCTTTATTAGGTTCTTATCCATAGATCTTTCAACGATTTTATTATCATATCTAAAAAAATATAATATTATTTCATGATTGTTTGCATACATTACAACTATCTTTGTATATTATATCTTTGATATCAAATATCAAATATCAAATTGATATCTTTGCATATCTTTGTATATAATATCTTTTACAACTATCTTTGTATACTATTTTTGTTTCGTTAGCCTTTTTGCAGAACGTGTATCATTAAGGCTATCAATAAGGCTGATGCTAGTCTTTTCGCGAAAAAGCGCCGTTTTGCATAAAGACTAGCCTTTCCGTAAAAAAACTAACTTCTCCAAAAGGCTGCGACATATACATTACAATCGGTAAATATAGTCTATCAGATTCAAAATTATTACTCTGTGATCAGAGTAATTTATACAGAATTGTTACGCACACCGTAATATCTCGCTTGAATGTTTCATTTATATTTACAACAATGTCTCTTTAACTTTTCGCAAAATATTTATATATAATAATAAAAAAGTGATGATTTAGGAAAAATATAAAATCTCAAATCAGAAACAAATCTACGTAAACACCTATGTAAATATTGATTTTTTTTATAATTTTGTTCATAGTGATTTAAAAGTATGACTTTTTAAATAACTGCGAACAATTAGAAGTAATGTAACAGTGTGAATATTTGAACAATAATTAACCTACCCACACAATTCACTGTGGCAGATAATGCAGATTATCTCGATATCATGGATGGCGCTAATTGGCGAACGATTTACTGTAATCGCGCAAAAAAGCGCAATTTCGGTGTCGCGCGCGCGCGTAAACGATTTTCGCGCAAAATTCGTGGCTAAATTTAGCGGGTGATAAAGTGCACTCGTCATAAATTTTAATTAACGCGGGAGCGCACGTGGAAGCGAGTACGGGACCGGCGGTCCGAAGCGTCGTTTGGCGACTCAATCCAGCGAAATATCCACGCGAAATTACGCGGACGCGTAACGCGCGACTCGGGTTGATAACGAGCATAATAAATCGTAATGAGCCGAAGCGCGGGCGGGAAGTGAAACAGGGAAAGAGGCGGGAGAGAAACGTCCCGTGAGACGAAACGAGAAAGAGAGCGGAATGCTTTCACTCGATTCGCGCAGTTACACGTGAATATAAACCGCTCGAAACTGCCGATAACGAGAGACGACCGATTTCGAAACGGTGAAAAGAACCGAGAATCGATTCGAATGCACGGGGACGTATTCAGGTTTCATCGCGTACGATGAAAATCCAACGGCCTCCGGATTTAACAACACGAATATTCCATTTGCGCGCTCCATTCCGGGGTTTTTTTTTTTTTTTTTTTTTTTTTTTTT